CCAATTGGCCTGGAGGTCAATCCCTCCCAGTGTTACCTACAACAATCAAGGCTTAACTACAACAAGACTGTGCACAAAGCCCACAAGGGGGTTCACCAAGAGTGTCTGCCTCAAGTAATCGGGGAGGCTGAGCCACTGGGCCCTATAGGACACCTAGCACACAAAGTCACTCTATCAACACAGGGAAGCATAAAAAAATGCGGAGACAAAGAAACAGAACACAAATGACAGAAATGGAGGAAAGCAAACTACTGGATATAGAGTTCAAAACCACGGTTATAAGGTTTTTCAAGACTTTTCTAGAAACCACCAATAAACTTAATGAGACCCTCAAGAAATCTAGTGAGACCCTTGAGGTTGTGATAAAGGACCAACTAGAAATTAAGCATACACTGACTGAAATAAAGAATATTACACAGACTCCCAACAGCGGACTAGAGGATCACAAGAATCAAGTCAAAGATTTGAAATACAAAGAAGCAAAAAACACCCAACCGGAAAAGCAAAATGAAAAAAGAATCCAAAAATACGAAGATAGTGTAAGGAGCCTCTGGGACAACTTCAAGCGTACCAACATCCGAATTATAGGCGTGCCAGAAGAAGAGAGAGAGCAAGATATCGAAAACCTATTTGAAGAAATAATGACAGAAAACTTCCCCTACCTGGTGAAAGAAATAGACTTACAAGTCCAGGAAGCGCAGAGAACCCCAAACAAAAGGAATCCAAAGAGGACCACACCAAGACACATCATAATTAAAATGCCAAGAGCAAAAGACAAAGAGAGAATCTTAAAAGCAGCAAGAGAAAGACAGTCAGTTACCTACAAGGGAATACCCATACGACTGTCAGCTGATTTCTCAACAGAAACTTTGCAGGCCAGAAGGGAGTGGCAAGAAATATTCAAAGTGATGAATAGCAAGAACCTACAACCAAGATTACTTTATCCAGCAAAACTATCATTCAGAATTGAAGGTCAGATAAAGAGCTTCACAGATAAGAAAAAGCTAAAGGAGCTCGTCACCACCAAACCAGTATTATATGAAATGCTGAAAGATATCCTTTAAGAAGAGGAAGAATGCCCTGACTGGTTTGGCTCAGTGGATAGAGCGTCGGCCTGCAGACTGAAGGGTCCCAGGTTCGATTCCGGTCAAGGGCATGTACCTTGGTTGCGGGCACATCCCCAATGGGGGGTGTGCAGGAGGCAGCTGATCGATGTCTCTCTCTCTCATCGATGTTTCTAACTCTCTATCCCTCTCCCTTCCTCTCTGTAAAAAATCAATAAAAATTTATAAAAAAAAAAAAAAAGAAGAGGAAGAAGAAGAAAAAGGTAAAGATACAAATTATGAACAACAAATACACATCTATCAACAAGTGAATCTAAAAAGCAAGTGAATAAATAATCTGATGAACAGAATAAACTGGTGATTATAATAGAATCCAGGCATAGAAAGGGAGTGGACTGACTATTCTTGTGGGGGAAAGGGGTGTGAGGGATGCGGGAAGAGACTGAACAAAAAACGTGCACCTATGGATGAGGACAGTGGGGGATGGGGCGGTGAGGGCGGAGGGTGGGGTGGGAACCGGGTGGAGGGGAGCTATGGGGGGAAAAAGACGAACAACTGTAATAATCTGAACAATAAATATTTAATTAAAAAAAAAAAAAAGAGTTCCCTCTGAAGCCTTAGACACTTTACTGCAACTTTATCCAAAGTCTGCTAGAGTAAAAAAATTAATTTTATCGGCTGACAACACACTGTGGGAGACCTGCAGGCAATCTGGTGCCCACACAGAGACCACACACGGTGGGGAGGTCCAGGGTCTGTGGGCTGGTCCCAGGAGAGAGACAGCCCTAGGAGACTCGGCCTGAGGAGGGAGGCCTGGAGAACTCACAGACATGGTGGGGAGGGCGCTGGACTTCCTGAGGGCACAGGAGAGAGGGCGCTCACGGCCAGCGTGACCTCAGCTGACATCTGGATAACAGCTGTATACAAAAGGACCTGGTCCAGACCAGAGTGCAGTGCCAGCGGGCTTTCAAACACCCAGCAGGGTTATTTAAATAGCTGCACAGCTTCTCTCACAGTAACAAATACAGCCACAGGCTCAGCGGTAACTCAGACATGGGCAGACACACATTCACGCACATGCAGTAAGAGCTACCACTTGGTGCACTTTCAGTACATGCCAGACACTGTCCTACTTCACACACATTAATTCATGAGGTCCTGAGACCCTCAGACCTCACTTCCTTCCAAGCGCTCCGGCTCCTTCCTGTTTTGTGAACTTGCCAAGAACCCGCCTCCTAGCCTTTCTTTCTTTCTCTCTTTCTTTCTTTCTTTCTTTCTTTCTTTCTTTCTTTCTTTCTTTCTTTCTTTCTTTCTTTCTTTCTTTCTTCCTTTCTTCCTTTCTTTCTTTTTAATTATTTAAGACCTTTATTAGCAGGTGCTTGCAATTTGTTAACTTTTTTGAAAAAATCAAGATGTAAACTTTTATTACAAATTAAAAATGAGGTTCTTTAAAAATCTCAGCTTGACCAGATATGAAACAATTTTAAAACCTTTAAAGGTATATTGAAAAAAAGCAGGCTTTTTCTCCCATGAAAAACACACTGTCATTATCAAAAAGAGATGTCCTCAGACAAAATAATAAAAACCCCTGCTGCACAGACAACGCACATCCTTCTAGTTATCTGGTCAACAGCAAAAAGCGAGCACTTAAGGTCTTCAGCTCCAGTCTCTTATTCATTTCTTATTGCTGGAATTTCATATTCATTTCTTCTTGATGGTAGAGATGGTAGCCAGCACTTTTACTCAGAGCCCCCTCCCACCCACACCCTCCTCCCCGCACCCTGCTCAGCCTCGGGAGTGGACGTATTCTCAGCTGCTGGGTCAGCTGCTTTTGTCTCTCTGCCATCTTGTGGTTTAGGGCTTTCTGCGCGTGGGTAATGGAAGTTGCAGCAGCACCGGCGTTGAGGGGGCTGCTGACCTTGGGTCTCGCCTCCTTGATTTTCCTTATCTTCTTCACGGCCGTCTCTCTTTGTTACGGGGTGGGGCCACAACATTAGTAACAAAGAAACAGAATTTCCGGAGGTTGAGGCCCAGAAATCAGAATTTTAAAAAGATTCCCAGGTGATTCTAATGTGCAGCCAAGGTTGAGAACCACTGCTCTAGGCTGTCTTTGAAGAGGAGGGCCCTGCAGCATCGTGGTCCATAGCCCCATACATGTCCTCACTGGTCTGCCTTTTTCTCCTGCACCCTCCACTCCTGCTCCCTGCGCAGGGGGGCTGGAATGCTGCGGTCCACACCCACAGGGGTTCCGCGTGTGGTAAGGTGGGGCCGGGGCTGTTGGGCCTGGCCTTTGGGAGCCTCTTCGATCCCTCATTCTTTCCCCCTCCCACCATTCTGGGAATCCTGCTGCTCGTTATGGGGAGGGCCCTGCCACGTGGAGAGCGTCTATGACGGCCACGGTCTGCCGCACTGGACGGCCTCGCGCTGGAACTCCACCTGGGCCGTGCCATCTGCTGCCTCCGCACCTGTTCTCCCTCAACAGCATCACACGCCACAGCCTCTCCAGCGCCTACACTGCGAAGGGACTTCCTGGGGTTATTCTTCTTGATGGGAGTCTGGTATACAAACACATCTGCCTTGGTGTCGTTCCTGTCGATGGAACCATATCCATTTCTTACACTGAACCACGTGACTGGTTCCAAAACCTTTGGTGCACGACCTTCTTGTCCCCGCCGCAGGCCTCACTGATGCGAGGCCGGCCGGGCCTCCGCTCCCTACACCGCTGCCCTTGGTGCCGGGCTTGGTGTTGGCAGCGCTGGGGTGGGGGCGGTGGGCACCTGCTGGGTCTCGGTCTCGCTGTTCCTGGTTGCAGTGATGGTTGTGGTGATGGTGATGGTGATGGTGATGGTTGTGGTGATGGTGATGGTGATGGTGATGGTGATGGTGATGGTAGTGATGGTGATGGTGATGGTAGTGATGGCGGTGGTTATGGTTGTGGTGATGGTGATGGTAGTGATGGTGATGGTGGTGGTGATGGCGGTGGTGATGGTGATGGTAGTGATGGTGATGGTGATGGTTGTGGTGATGTGATGGTTGTGATGATGGTGATGGCGATGGTGATGGCAATGGTTGTGGTGATGGTGATGGCGATGGTGATGGTGATGGCGATGGTCGTGGTGATGCTGAAGGTGATGGCGATGGTGATGGTGATGGTGATGGCGATGGTTGTGGTGATGCTGAAGGTGATGGCGATGGTGATGGCGATGGTTGTGGTGATGGTGATGGTGATGGTGATGGTGATGGTGATGGTGATGGTGACTAGGGTGGCTGCCTCGCTGCTCATGGTTGCCGTGTGATGATAGGGACTGGGCTGCCTGCTGGGTCTCGGCCTTGCTGCTCATGGTTGCAGTGATGGTGATGGTGACTGCGATAGCAATGGCGATGGTGACTGGGGCCGGCTGCACACTGCAGCTCCTTCGGGGTGTGATGGTGGCTAGGCTGTGGGGGGCTGCTCAGGGCTCTCTGAGGTCCCGCTACAGCAACTCCTGGTCTTTGTACTCGCATTTCCACCTGCCAGGAACCCCTTCTCCCAGAGAGCTCACAGCTCACTTCACAGCGAAGGCCATTCCTGGCCACCCAATCCCACCCTCCCCCCTGGACAGCCGGCACTGCCCGCCTCCTGACACACTTTGCATTTATTGGCTCCTCTTTTTTGTCTCCCTGCTCCACAAGGACAGGGCTCTGTCTGCTTTATTCACTGCCATGTCCTCAGTGCCTGGCACACAGTAGGCATTCAGTCACTGTTTGCTGAGCGAAGGAGAGGAAGCCCACCTGCTTGCACACGTCCCAGCTGGCAAGTAGCAGACTCTGGATCCTGCCCAGGCGGTCCTGCTACGGGGCCTGAACACCTGAACACCGCTGCTCCTTCCCACCGAAGGCCCGCCGCACACTGAGCCGCCCCAGCCCAGCCCCAGCCCCAGCCCCAGCCTCACATACAGGAACTTGCCGTCGGTCTGCGAGCTCGCGTAGAGTTTGCGCTCGGCCTCCTCACGCGTCAGGTTGCTGTGGTACCAGGGCATCCGCTCGTGCGCCGTGGTGGCGATGAGCTTCTCCACCTGGGGCGCCTGGCTGAGGATGGCCTGCTCCAGGGCCTCGCCCTGGGGAACGGAGGTCAAGGGCACTTACAAGTGACGGCAATATGCGGCCAGGAACCCCGTTTCCATCTCCCCCACCCTCCCCCTCAGATCCCTCCCTGACCCCCAGGCGCACCGGGTGAGCACAGTCCCGCTCCCCGTCCTCCGTCCTGTCCCCGCCCACCCAGGGCCGAGCCCCCAGTGGTCTCCAGCTGGAAGCTCGGACACTGGTAGTCGAGCACCCAGACGTAATGCAGGGGATCAAAGACCACCGCCCATGGCCTACCCTACCCAGGGCGGGGCACCCACCCTCCTCTCAACTCCGCCCAAGCCTCGCCCGGTCCCGGTCCAGAGCTACCTCCACCTTCCCTCCCGCAGTTCAGGCCCCGCCTCGGAGGCCCCTCCCAGCGGGGCCCAGCCCTCCAGCTTCCAAACCTGACGCAACGCGGCAAACCGCAGGCTGGCGAAGGGGACCCCTCTCCCCACTCCGAGCCCCCCCTCCCCCCGCCCCCCGGCCGCTCTCACCTCCAGCTTCCACGTCTGGCGCACGTAGTCGCGCACCATGGCGTCCCGCAGGCAGTCGAAGACCCCGGGCTGCGGCTCCAGCCCCGAAGGCCGGTTGCACGGCTTGCGCAGGTTGCAGGGCAGCCCGTCGGGGTCGCGCGAGTAGAACTCGCAGAGCTCGGCGGGGCCGCAGTGCGCCTTCCCGCCCGCGATGGCGTAGGTGCCGTTGAGCTGGCGCTCGATGGAGAAGTGGTGGAAGCGCACGTCGTGCACCAGCGAGAGCACGTAGCCGCCCAGCGAGCGCAGGCACTGGCGCAGCAGGAAGAGGCCGTCGGCCATGCCCGCCAGCTTCAGGTGCTCCTCGGCCTCGGCGCGCGAGATGCTGCCGTAGAAGAAGGGCAGGTGCGCAGCGGGGTCCGGCATCGCCGCCGCTGCCCCGCGCCAGCTGCGCGCCCTAGCGCCACGCCAAACCCTGCGGGTGCAAGCGAGATCGGGGGCATGTCAGCGCCTCGGCTTTGCTTCCTGAGCTCCGTCCACGGGCCCGGATACAGTGGGAGAGAGGTCACCTCTTGGGGCATCCGTGCCCACCGCGTGGAGCCCACTTCAGCTTGGAGAGGAGCCCCAGCATCAGGGAGTCCCAAATCTGCCTCTGACTTTTTGGAGACCTTGTGCGGAGAGCCAGACACCCCCACTGGCTCACACACACCTGGAACCACTCATTCACCCCCAGAACCTAAAATTATCTACCTTCCACTTCCTGGGGTAATGACGCTGGACACTGGATTCCACAGGATTCTGAATTCCTTAAAACTCTGAGAAGGTACCCTTAAGATTTATTCATTTCATTGAATTTGGAGCCCTCCGTAAAAAAGAACCATCAAATATTAAACCCTGGTTAGTGATCTGTGTGCAGAAGTTTTTAGGTGGGTACTATGACTGCAGTTTCCTTTGAAGGCCATCCAAGCAATAACAGGGACTGAGGGCTGGCCAGCTGGATCGTGCAGCCTTCTTCACAGCAGTTCTGTAGTCCGTGCAAACAGGGATTAGCAGGGGCTGAACCGCTGCTGCAGGGGACAAGCAGGGGTGGGTTCCTTCGAGCCTCTGGTCACATTTCCATTAGCGGAGCAGTACATGACCTTGCAAGACGCCTCCTATTGTTGATTCATTAACATTGAACGCTCAGCCAATAGCACCATATAAGCTCAGGAGCCTCACAGCGGTCTTGCACCGAGGAACACTAGACAGCATTTGGGGGCCAGTTAAACTGAAATCACCAACAAACAGCACAAAAATGAGGCACCAAGTAGACCGTGAGGACACTTGCTTCCAGTGTGACAACTAAAAGGGGAGGCAGAGTGCCTGCTCCCGGTCAGCGGGAATGCGCTGATAATGCTGAAAAAATGGTCTCCCCACTGCAGTTTCTGCTCATTTCTCACTAAGGTGGCCCCAGCAAGGCCCTGAGGCATAGGCTGTGTTCAGGAACAGGGCCTGGGTGCCTTTCTCAGTGACACACATGTACACAGTGGCACAAAGAAAGCTCTGTGGACTGAGAAAGGCTGCCCGCCCCCCCCCCCCCCGGAGGGTCCAGGGACATGGAAGGGTGGGTACTGGGTCCAAGAGGAAGGTCAGTCAGTCCTCATGTAACGTCATTAACAGGTTCTTGGAAGCTACACTTTAAGCGAGATGATGTACAAGGACCCAATTTTACCATAGGTTAATTGATATAAACAAGAGTTCATATGGTGTATTTATGGCTACAAAAACACCACCAAACTTCTAAATAAAGGCCCAAAACTCTTCTAATAGTAAACGTTGACCCTGGTCAGGTAGGTCAGCTGGTTAGAGTATCATCCCGATTCACCAAGGTTGTGGGCTCAGCCCCCAGTCAAGGCACGTACAAGAAACAACCAATTAATGCATCTCACTCTCCCTTCCTCCCTCTCTCTCTAAAATCAATGAATAAAAATTTAAAAAAACAACATTGAAATAGCTGTGAGCTAGACATACATTTAAGAGAGGTGAGTAAAAACAAGTATGAGACTTCCTTTCCAACCTGCTGATTCCAGGTCAGGGTCATGGTACTCAGAGCCCACACGGCAGCTCAGGTGCCAGGGACCCAGCCTGGACAGGGTGCCCTTACACACTCACTCAGCCTGGGACGCTGTAGACTCGCTGATTCCTCTCATGTGCTCATCTTGGGATGTGGAAGGATCCCGCGTCCCTGGAGAAAACCCCTACAGACATCAGCCCAGCTGAGAATCAGAAAATGTTTTTCTATACATTTTTTTCAATATTATAACGAAACAACATTGAACGAAAAACCACGTTATTGGAGGATCTGCCCTACTGAAATGGGAGTCATTTCAGGAGAGGCCTGGGTCAGGGCGACTAGAGGAGGGGCCAGAAGGGACTTTCTAACCAGGTTGTTTCTGACACCAGGGTTGGGAGGGCCAGGTTGGAGGGGCGATGAGCCAGGGGCTGCAGACACAGTCGCCATTCCACCAGAGGGTTTAGCTGGAGCCAGGAGAGCTCCTGGAGCCGACCTGGGGAAACGGAAACGTGCCTTCGCACAAAACCTGCGCAGGAACGGGAGAGCCGTCTGCTAGTAATTGCCAAAATCAGAAGCCACTCGCATGTTCTCAGCAAGCGGGCAGATAAACAGTGGAGCGTCTCAACACTGGGATACCACTCAGCCATCCAACGGAACCGAATGCTGATACACCCAACAACAGGAATGAACCTCAAAGGCCCACGCCCAGTGAAGAAGCCAGGCCCCAAACGGCCCCTGTCCGATTCCATTCAAAGCTGGGTCCTTGGAGAACACCAGAGGCTGGGGCGGGGGCAGGACTGACTGCAAACGGGCATGAGGGGATTTCTCGGTTGAGATGGTAGTTTCTCAGCTCTATGCACTTGTCAGATCTACAGAATTTCTCACTAGAGTGAGTGGATTACTGTATGTAATTTATAACTTAATTTTTTAATTAAAGGGGGATAGAAGAGCTGGGAAGTACAGACACACCAGGCACTAAAAATAGGAAGCAGAGAGCTCCCCTTCTTGACTCCGACCCTTTCCCCCAGCCTCAGGGTCTGCCCCCCACTTGCCCCTCACCCCCAAAAAGCTGGCCTCAGGGAGCACTGCTGTCACCACTGGAGGGCGCCAGGCAAACAGTTATGCCTCCTGGATACTGGGCCCTGAGTATGGGCACTAGCGACTTGTCCTGCTGACGGCATGGCTCTCTTGGGCTCTCGATGACTCTCTGGCTTGCTCCCTCCCTCTCTGATGGTTTCTCCTTTCTCCCCTTCGCAGCCCTGGTCCCCTTACTTGGGCCATCTTGTCTGTGGCTAACCACGCTGCCACACCCACCTGCCCAGTCCAGATCTCTCTGCTGAGTTGGTTTGTGCTGCCATCACCTCCTTTGATCTCTACCTGCTGTTTCTATTAATAAAACTGCGATCCACATCTAACTCACACGGTGCCGGTGGTTGGTTGGACCCCACAGTCTGTTTCCCACATGAACTGAGCAAGTTGCTTTTAGGCGATTCCTTCCCAAGGCCTCCCTCGCTCAAGAACCAGCTGTGGCTCCCTCCTGCCTACTTCACTGACTCTAACTAAGCCCCTCAGCCCGCCCTCTGCTCCAGCCGGGCTGCGCTGGTCGCCTTCCTTCAAGTTCACTTCCATACTTGCACCTGTGCGGTGCCCTCTGCTGGGTCCACCTCCCCCTCCTCTCCACTTCCCAACCCAGCCAGCCCTGCCTCACAGACTCATGCAGCTGCTCCCATAGAGTCAGGGGCACAGGACAGGGCAGCGAGGTGGGGGCCGTCCGGACGGTGAGGAGGGTGGGGGTAGTGGATCTTGTCTCTGGGCAGGAAGCTGTGGTAGGAAACTGTCGGCAACACAGTTAAGAAGCTCCTCCCTGAGCGCCGCGGCCGCAGGTGCAGCCTGGGTAGCCAAAGGGGGTTCCTGCAGAAGCCGGGGTGTGGAGAGGCTGGCCCGGGGGCTCAGTCCAGGGCCATGAGCCATGATTGGCCACCTTGGACCCTGGGCCACGGTGTCCCAGAGCGGGGAGCGTTCTGTTTTATCCCAACTTCCCGTCACTGCCAATAGCCACGCCAGCTTTCGGAGGCGCTGGGCCAGCCCGTGGCCTCCGTGTGCCCGGTTCTCGGGCAGCGGGACCAGATGCTTCTGTCCTGAGCGTGTCCCGCAGACTCCATGGCTTCCCCGGGAGGACCCACCAGGACTCTCCCTGACCTAGTCCTGCCTGGGCTGGCCCCGCCCGCCTCCCCTTGAGCATGTGAGCTCCTTGTGGGTTCAGAGGGCCTAACGTTGCCTTCCCAGAGTGCACAGCTCCACCGAGACCAGGGGCACCCGCCAGGCCGTGCGGTGAGGAGGAAACCTTTGACCCTTGGCACACAGATCTGCCTGAAGTTCCTCCACTCAAGCATCCCTGAGGCAAAGGCGGGTTCAGTGATATCTGCTCCAGGGACACCTGACCCCCACACACACTGCGAAGGAGAGAAGGGTCAGGTACACTTTGAAAGGCGTCTGAGCACATTCAAGGCTCCCACGCAGCCGCTATGGGAAACAGTGTGGCGTTTCCTCAGAAAATTAAAACTAGAACTACGTACGTAGGACCCAGCAGTTCCACTTCTGGGCTTTTATTTGAAGAAAACAAAAACAAACCTTGAAAAGACATCCGCACCCCAACTCATTGCAGCATTACTTACAATAGCCAAGATGTGGAAGCAACCTGGGCGTCCATCGGTAGATGCTAAATGGATAAAGAAGATGCCACACATGTGTGCAGTGGGATATTACTCGGCCATTCTTGATTGCATTCCGCCAAGAATGAAATCTTGACATTGGCAACAGCACAGATGGCCTTGGAGAGCATTGTGCTAGGGAGATGTCGGGCACAGAAAGGCAGACACTACGATGGCCCTTACTGCGGACTCTAAGACACAAAGCAAACAACGAAGGCTTGGAGGCGGCGGGCGGCCAGGCCCTTTGGCTTTGGTTAGTCCCACGGCCGCGCAGCGGGCCCACCCCATGTCTGAGCACCACAAGCCCCATCGAATGCCCGTCACGGGGCCCAGCGGGGAGACGGGCTGCAGAGGGAATCTTTCTCTATCCCTGGACCTGCTGGAATGGAGTGGGTGGCCCGACGGGACCACCACGCCACATGCCACCCTCAGCCACTGGCGTGGCTATTGGCAGTGACCGGAAGTTGGGATAAAACAGAACGCTCCCCGCTCTGGGACACCGTGGCTCAGGGTCCAAGGTGGCCAATCATGGCTCATGGCCCTGGACTGAGCCCCCGGGCCAGCCTCTCCACACCCCTGCTTCTGCAGGAGCCCCCTTTGGCTACCCAGGCTGCACCTGCAGGCTCCACACGCCACCCTCAGCCAAACACTGAAGGGTCCCTGCCCAAGGCCTGATGCAGTGAGGGCCCAGCCCCTCCCTGCCCACATTCCTCTCACGCTGCCCAAGACCCCAAGTCCCCCCTGAAGCCACTTTTGCTCCTTTGTCCACAGGCCACAGGCCCCTGTGCCCACCACAGAGGCAGCACGGCATTTGTCAGTCAACAAAATGCCACCTTGGTTACGCGTCACGAGGACAGCAACCAGCATGGTGCCGTGGGTGGCAATAGGCTCCTTCAGACCTTTTTCCTGACACCAGGCGTCCGAGTTGCATCACGGAGTCCTGGGCCCACCGCGCAGTAGCAGGTGTGGCCCTGAGCAGGGAGCGAAGCTCACCAGACCCCGCCTGGAAAAGGGGCCCAGCACCAAGGGAGGGGGACTCCAGGAGAGCAGGCTCACGGAGCACGGAGCACCCGGAGCCCCCGGCGCGGGACCGGCTGCCACTCACCGCCCCAGGACTTCCCGCTCGCTCAGGGTCAAAGCCCAAATCCTCATCCCATCACCTCCAGGCTCGCTCACTCCCACCAGCCACACGGGCGTCTCATGTCCCTTGTTTGGGTCCTTGAGCAAATCAGGGAAGGCCCCACCTCAGGGCCTTGGCCTGTCTGCTCCCTCAGCCTCACGCCCAGGATCCCTCACTCCTTGGGTCTCTGCCTAAATACCACCCTCCCCCAGAGACCTCCCCGCGCCCCCTCTCCACAATCGCTTTCCCCTCTGTCCCCACCCCTGACCCAGCTTCGCTGCTCTTCACCCCCAGAAACGGGCTACAGGTATCAACTTGCTGACAGGTGACCTTCGCCATATGCCAACATACGTCTGACACATCTTATGATATGATCGGACGTAAGCACGGTGAGAGTGGAAACTCCTTGTCCCGCACCTACACCAGCAAGGGGGATAGTATGTGCCCCATAAATATCTGGTTGCAGAGCCACTGGCGCGCACCTGAAAGGCATGCAGCCCCGTGATGGGTGCAGACGCAGCTGCAGGCCAGGGGCTGAGGGGCTTCCGGAGGAGAGAGGAGGGAACATGGGTCTGGAGGCTTCGTCCACTAACCCTGGTGGGAGGGGAGAGGGCCAGCCCGGATCCTGCACAGGAACTGTTCCCCCGGGAACAGTGTTCACAGCCTTCTTCTGGCCTGGGCCGCAGGTCCCCTCCACGGTCCCTCCTCCCAGAGTGCTCCTCCCAGGGCCCTGGGCGGCGGTGCTGGCAGGATGAGGCGGAGGCTGAAGGAGGCCACTCACCTGGACACAGCAGCGGGGCAGTGGCCAGGCAGGGCAGGGACCGGCACCTAAAGGTCGCCCACCCAGCAGCGGGCTTCTCGGAAACCCAGCCTGTTTCCTTGATGCACAGGCAGGAAAGGGGGCTGTTTGAAGCCTGCGTGTACGTCACAAGTGCCACGTTCATAGGCCACGTGCTCCTGGGAGGGCAGAGGGCATTTCCGGGGCCACCAGTGCCCCCCCCCCCCCGCCCCAGCAGGAGGTGCGGACCTACTTAGTAGGTTTCTCCTCTCTGTGCCTCTGACCTGTGGTGGCCGCGTGAGACCACTGCCTGCTCCCCCCCCCCCCCCCCCCCCATCAGCTGAGCTCCCCAGGCAGAGCCGGCAGCGGGCTTGCTTTCCACTGCAGCCCCCGCTTCCTCCCAGTAAACGTTTGTCACCGGGGCAACAACAACAGCCGCTGGGCCAGGGACTTACTGTCCTGTTAGGAGCGTCATCCCTTTAATCCAACCCTCTCCTTAACCGCGTTCCCTGGAAACTGCCATTCCCGTTCCTCAGCTAAAGAAACCCAGACCCAGAGGGCTGTCGCGCTCAGAACACACAGTCCGCAGCGGCCGTCGGTTTGAACCCGGCCTCACCAGCAGCCGGCATCCACCCCTCTAGTGACCGAGCTGGGTGCCCGGGGTGGCCACGTCCCACAGGCCTCGGGCTGCCTGGGGGGCTGCACCATGAGCTGCATTTGACTGTCAGGGCCCTGGCGGGGGGGTGGTGGGGGGGGGTAAGGGGGGCCGGGGCGTCCTCACATCCAGCACACTCTCCAAGTGTCTGCTGAGCGACCGACACCATGAGACCGTCCCCCTCCCCAACCTCCGCTGCCTGGGCTGTGTGACCTCGGCACGGACGTTCCCCTCTGAGTGCCACGCTCTGGAGGGAGAGGAAGAGGCCCAGCGGAGGGGCAGGAGGCTGAGTTGGGGGACGGAGCCTGGCAGGCATGGTGCTGTGCAGGCCATTCAGCAGCACTCGGGCCTGTGCACCCCACACGCCAGTCACCCCGCCGGGTCCCGAGGAGCAAGGTCTCAGACACTGACTGTCCCCGGCCGGGAGCAAGACCGGCTCCAGTTGAGAACCCTGCGTGAGCACGGTGGGTGGGCAGGAGCGTCTGCATGGAGAGGCCTGGCTGCTGGAGCCCCAGGAGCTATGCCGCCCAGAGACCACCCAGAGCTCGCAGCGCTCATTAACATCCCCACTGACACCGAGTGACACTGGTTTGAGCTGTGGGTCCACTCACATGGGGACTTTCTTCAGTAACTGTACAGTGTTTGACCAGCGGCAATGTGAAGCAGTGTTTTTGATCCATGTTGGGAATCTGCAGGGTGACTGTATGCACTGTTCTAGGCTGTTCTATACAAGGGCCGTGAGCCCCCCGGGGTCCTAGAACCCATCCCCCGGGGACGCAGAAGGATGGCTGCGGATGAAAGTTATACTCAGTTTCTGACTGTGCAGAGGCTCAACACCCTTGGCCCCCACATTGTTCAAGGATCAGCTATGGCTTCTATATGCTTCTATAACACCTACTATGTGCCAGGGACCCTGGACATATTCCCTCCCCTAATCCTTGCAAAAACCCTGAGAGCGAAGGGTTTGTGGGTTCGGGACCTGAAGCACACAGGTGGAGGGACTTGCCAAGGTCACCCAGCACACACAGTAGGTGGCAGAGCCAGGACTTGGCTCTAGGCCTCCCAGCTCAAGTGTACACCACACACCAGCCAGGCTGCCCTCCCGCCCAGGTCCCTGCCCAGGCTGCGTGCGAGGGGCTGGAGGACAGGCGAGAAAAGGGACAGGCTCTGCCTTGGCAGGTGGCACCCAAGGACTTTCCACCCCGGAGTCCCTGACCCTAATCTCTCAGCAGAGCTTTATTAAGCACCTACTGTGTGCCTGCTTCCCTGGCTGAAACAAGAGTAACGAAGATCATCTTGAGTTGATCACCACACGACCCCTGTTCCTGCCAGGACCCCTTCCCAGCCTCTCATCCGACAGTCAGGAGCCAAGCACCTACTAGGTGCCAATGTTTACATCTGCATGTACCAGATGCACAAGCCGGGGCTCAGAATGGCCAAGCTACTTGCCGGGGACGCACAGTGATGGAGCAGGATTCCCGCCATGTGCTCCTTCGCCCCTCTGGGCCCCACCTGCAGCTGAGCTGCCCACCAGTGGCTGGAGCCTCCCTGAGTCCTCAGGGGGCTCGTCAGCACGTTAGTGTTGAAGCGCACAGCCCTGCTGAGCCGGCTCACATTCCTGGGGCCGGGCCAGAGCTTTGTCTGGAGGTTTCTCTGCTTCCTGGAGCCAAGGAGGCCGCCCTGACGAGCCAGCAGGCGCAGGGACGGAGCAGCATCTGTGTCCCCAGTCCCTCCGCCTGGCTGAGCCTGTGGAAGCGGAGCTGTTCCCCTCAGGGGAGCCACAAGCCCTGTCTGCCTCCCTTTACAGCTCGACACCACCCGCCCGGCCCAGACCAACAGCCCTCCTGGCTCTCCCAGTGGCCTCCTGACTCTGTCCTCCTCCACCAGACCCAGGCCTCCTGGGGCGGCGGCAACTGCTGCTCCCTCCGGGTGACTTACCTGGAGATGTGCAGGTGGGTGACAAGATAAACCCCTGCAGGGTCTCTGGTCCCCAGTGCGGACAGCCAGCTGGTTCTAGACGAAGAACTGGGGTTTCTCTACAGCCCAAGCCCCACCTCAAGGCTCCCGCTGTCTAATCTCCCCCATGCCCAGGCCAGGTGTAAGGAGGTCCCACCCCACCGCTGGCCCCCGAGGACCCTGGGTGGGTGTGCTGGCGGGACAGAGGCAGGAGGCTGGAGACGCCACTCACCTTCACAGCAGCGGGCAGCAGCCGGCCAGGCGGGCAGGGGCGGGTGGAGGCTGGTGCTCCCTGAGCAGCGTCGTTCTCTGAAACTCGGCCTATTTCCTTGATGCAAAGACAGGAAAGAGGCTGCGTTTGAAGCTTACGTCTAAGTCACAAAGTGCTGTGTTCAAGGGAAATTGTAGGCACGTGCTCCTGGCGGGCAGAGGGCATTTCCGGGGTTACCAGTGGCCCCCCCCCCCCCACAGCTAGAGAGGAACTGGGGCTGCCTGCAGTCCAGGTTATGCAGGAATGATGAGTCCAACGGCAGCCCCTAACCTGGGGGCGGAGGGGAACCGAGTGTCCCAGCATGGGGGTGGGGGACAGCAGCAGTGGGAGGGGGATCCCCAGGACTCACTGGAAACTAGAAGTCCCCACTCTCCCCTCCTAAGGGGGCGCAGACCCGGGACTGCCCTGACTGAGCTGCGGGGAATATTGATTTGTTTATTCCACGGGCAGGTTGAAGACGGAGGAGACACCTACTAAGCAGGTCCCCACCTCAGAGGTTCGGAGCACCTGTGCCCGGCGCCAGGGGCATCGTCACACAGGCATCGGGCGGCAAGCACAGCTCTGTCCCTGCCCTTCGAGGGCTCACAGGCCGAGTCCCCAGGAAGATGGGCGGGGAGGGAGGGGGGAGCGGGGGGAGAGGGTCAGAAGCCTGGGCGCTGTGCGTCCAAGAGGAACCCCGCAGCCTGGGGCGTGTCGGGAAGGATTCGGAGAGGGATCGTGTCCGTCAGGTCAGGACACAGGGGCTGGGAGTCCTCAGTGCCCACCCAGGCCCACCCAGCCCCCCTCGGACCTCTCCCTCACGCTGCAGGCTGATCACCACCTCCTGTTCTGGCCACAACCACTTCCTCGTCCTCTTTCCTTCCCCCTCACACTCGCCCACCCCCACGATGGTACCTGCCCGCGCACTAGCTGACCAGGCGGCCACACCTCACAGCTGCTCCCTCAGCCTTTGGTCCCCACCCCCACCTGCTGCAGACCCTGGGCTTAGCCTCCCTCACCCCTCTCCCTGCAGCGCCCCACGGCCTCTGCGGGCCCCCTCGGACCCGACCCGTGGGGCCTCAGGGACCCGTGGGGCTGTCTTAGGCCCACTGTTGAGACCCCAAGAATCTTTCTTCTCTGGGTCCTGCCGCTGGGTAAGAGGGCTCAGCTCCCCAACCTGCCTGACGAAGTTTCCTCCGTGCTGACCCAGATCTGCTCTCCGGAGCACCCTCTCCCCTCGTCCCTGCCGCCCCCCAGCTCGCCGCCCCCCCCCCTCCCCCGCCCCGAAGCAGGACGTCCTTTTTCTGGGCTCCAGGCTAGGATACTTTTCTCCTGTATAAATTTCCCCAGAAAAAGCGTTCTGTTGGAAGCCTTCCCTTCCCCACAGGCACCATGACACTCAGGATGCAGAAAACATGTTTCCACACTGGCCCTCCTTGCCGGGGTGGGGGGAGGAGAATGCCCAGCAGGCTAAGCAGGGAAATCACAGCAGAACCTCCCCCCCCCCCCCCCCCCCGCCCCAAGCATGTCAAACTCCCGGCCCACCAGCCACGAGTTTGACATGCCTGCCTATGTGCTTCACAACGCTGCAAGCAGTTTACAATTTAACCGATTTTTCCAGATGAGCTAAGTGAGGCCCGGCGAGGTGAATTCATAGACGCCGAGTGGCAGGCGGCGTGGGAGCTACCTCGGTGGACAGAGGAGGGGAAACCTTGATTGTGAAACAGCTCCCTGTGAGCTGGACTCCCAGACGCCTGGCCGGTGAACAGCTCCATGTGGGTGGGGCACCCCAGGGGCAGCAGGTTGGGCTTCCGGTCTTGGGTGGTCAGGCCTGAGAAGGGGGCTCCCTGTGCCTAGGGGGCATTGGCTCAGTGGCCCTGGATCCCCTTCCAGGCCCGGGCGCCTCCTGACGCTGCCTGGCCCCTGACAGTCTGAGATGGGCCTGCAGATAAGGCCGCTCCAGGGCCAGAGTGGGGGAGACAGGTGGGTGTGGCTTTTGAAGGTTCAGGGGAAAGAGCAAACAGGTGGAAACGTGGGCTGGGAAAGCTGTGGTGCATTCGCCCCGGTGGGTTTCGGTAAATATTCACTCCAGACAGGCCAAGAGCCTCAGAGGAAGTTGATTGCTCACCCTTACACCCCCAGGCCTCCGCCCACCCTGTGTCCCAGCCTGAACTCTCTCCACCCACCTCTTCTACCCCTGACTCCTCCTCCAGGTCTCGGATTAAAGTGGCTTCCTCCAGGAAGCCCTCCGAGCCTCAGACTGCGCGGGGTGGGGATTGGTGTCAGTGTCACCTGTGCGCAGGCAGATTTGGTTCCAAGGTTAAAAGGACACCAGGCCGCTGCCCTGGAGACCTGCAGCCGGTGGGCCGGGGAGAGGGCTCACCCCTCAGCCCAGCATCCCCCACGGGAGGGCAGCCCCTGCCCCCAGGGCCCCTCCTCAACCCTTCCCCGCCTGGGCCTCTTCAGCCATGCAGGCACCTGCCTTTCCTCTGAGTGGTCAGACATTGGTGCTTTTCTCTTGTTCTTTTCTGGTTCTGCCACTTGTAGCTCAGGGGTCGTGAGCAAGTCCCTTGAGCTCTCTGTGTCTTCGCTTCTCACCTAGGAAATGGCACCCACCTCACAGGCCACGGCGAACATGAAAACTGGCCTCGGACAAACACCCCACCATTGCTGCCCTCACCGTCACACGCACCCCTGGATTCCCCCCACCCCACCCCACCCCCACCCCCAGTTTTTTAATCCTCACTCGAGGATATGTTTTTATTGATTTTGAGAGAGAGAGATCAGTTGCCTCCCGTACACACCCCCACCCACCACCTAGGTGTGTGCCCTGACCAGAAATCGAACCCACATTTTGGTGTGCAGGACGGCTCTCCAAACCGCTTGACGGGTTGTCACTGTGCTAGTGAGTGCACGGCCAAGGGCAGCTACGGGACTCCTTGCGCCCTCCAGGGGCAGCTCTCAAGTTCTGCATCCGTCTAAGGCTAAGTAGGAGCTCAAAGGTTGAAAGTGACAGCTCCACCCCACTCCTGCCAAATTTTCCATCCAACTTGGTTTAAATCAGAAGAGAATCCATTGTCCACAGCAGCCACACGCCGTGCCCTCCCCTGGGGGTCATCCAGTGTCTGGCTCCTTACACACTCAAACCACAATGGCAGTGCCACCTCTTCAGACAGTCCTTTGGGGGCTGCCTATTTATGCAACACTGAGCCCCTCCTCGGGGCCAGATTCTGCTCTCAGCAGCAGGGGTCTGCTGTGAACAAGACAGATGCATCCTTTGCAGAGCTGGCATTCTAGGGAGGGAGGGAGAGAAGACACCAAGTAAGCGACTGTTCTGAGGAGTATACTGGGTAGTTTCGAGTGCTGAGGAGTGAAATAAACCAGAAGAGCTGTGATTTGGAGCAGAGAGTCAGGGTGAGGCCTCACTGAGGGGATAACCAGTGAGTAAAGTCTTGCAGGAGGTGCGGGGAGATGGGGGGACATTGGAGATCCTGGGGAAGAGCATTCCAGGCAGAGGGACCAGCAAGTGCAAAGGCCCTGGGGCAGGACCGTGACCTCGGGGAGGTGGGGAGTGTCTTGTTCCTGGAATGGCACCTGGTGCACAATAGTGTTCAGTGGCTGTGTGAGGGGTGGAGAAGCCCCGTGGTTGTTGACCCTGCACAAGCTTTTCCTAAAGCCGCCTGTGGACTTCACTCTCAGACAGCTTTTCTCCCTGGGGTCCAAGATAGTGACTCAGCTTCAAACCCACTCACGGAGCAAGAATCTCTAAGTATCCCCAGCGAGAGCCCCAGGCAGCTCACTGGCTGAGAGGGTCACACGGCCATCCCCCAGCCAGTCCCTGAAGCCAGCGATGGGTGTGAGAGGGGCTTAGGACAGTGATGGCGAACCTATGACACGCGTGTCAGAGGTGGCACGCGAACTCATTTTTTTGGTTGATTTTTCTTTGTTAAATGGCATTTAAATATATAAAATAAATATCAAAAATATAAGTCTTTGTTTTACTATGGTTGCAAATATCAAAAAATTTCTATATGTGACACGGCACCAGAGTTAAGTTAGGGTTTTTCAAAATGCTGACACGCCAAGCTCAAAAGGTTCGCCATCACTGGCTTAGGACCAGGTCACGGGCCCACCACACCATCCTGAGAACCCCAGGAAGTCAGACTATGGCTGGAAGGAGCGGGAAAGAAGGCTGGGCAGGCAAAGAGCCAAACTTTACAGAATAATCACAACAGCTAAGATTTATTTGTTCATCAATAGGAAGCACGGCTTCTCGTGGCCTGAGCGAAGGAGTAGGCTGGCCCCATTTTACAGATAGAGAAACTGAGTCTTGAGGTTTCACAGCTGGTGAGTGGCAGAGCCTGGACGGTCCTGGCTCAAAGGGCCTCCACAGCACTGGACCCTGCAATCCCTTGCACCCGCCAGGGACCGGCTGCTGGACCGAAGGTGGAACCTTGGAGTGAGGGCACACTGAGAGAGGGGCCCCTTCTTGGACAGAGAAAGGGGGACACGGAAGACAGCTGAGGGCAGGCTGCCGGGGGCCTGCGGGCGATGGCCGACTGCTGGCACAGGCCGAAGGCGGCTGACCCCCACTTGTTCCTCAAATGGAAGCCTGAGGCAGGGGCAGGGCCAACAGGAGGTGGGCTGACCCTCAGGCCTGGGGTCCTGGGGGGAAATCTGGTCTTTACAGTGTGCCTGCTGTATCCACAAGCCCTGAGCTCAGGAGGACGCCTGCAGCCTGCCGTCAGGAAGGTGCTCGACCCGTTCTCTCCCGTGGTGTCCCCAGCACCCAGCCATACAGTGCCAGGCACATAGCAAGTGGCCCATAAAACCAACAGCCCTGCCAAGGAGGCAAATCCCTACCCCATGGCCAAGATGGGGAGACCGAGGCCCAGAGGAGGTCAAGGAGTCCGGCTGGGCCCAGCTGCCCAGGGGCCGTGCCTGGGAAATGCCTGGGTTGTGGGGTCTGGGCAGTCAGAGGCCAGGTGGGCAGTCACACTCCCGGCTGCACCTCTCCCTCCTGGAGCACCGGCCTGGACGGAACCGTGACCCGGGGGCGGCCGCTCGCATGGAGCACTTGCTCT